CCTCACGTTCCCCCCCCCCCAATAGCTAGCAATCCAAAACAGTCCAGTGGCGCCTGAGCAGTGGGTGTTGCCTTCTGACACACTTCTGGTGATGTCAGGGGGCATGGTATATGCAAATGAGTCATGCTAATGAGTTATGCTGATGAGCTCCTGCACCTCTTTTTCTACGAAATGACCCCCTGTGTAGAAGTAAAAGTTAAATACCAAGGATAAAATATTCAGCCGTGTGATCTGATGGGTGAACAAATGGTTCTGTGTTCTCTGCTGTCTGCTGTTTAATTCCATATCGCTGCGGCTGGGTTTAGACATGCCCCGCATCTAACGTGTGTCATCGGTCTGTTCCCACATCGGTAGCTGGAGCTGTGCCGGCAGAGCTGGGGAGCTGTGGTACGTTTCTCCAGGAGGCCCACCGGGAGTCAGGAGAGAGCAGAAATCCTTGCTGTGGCCTGCCGCCAGACTGGCAGCCAGTCAGGGGTGGTCCGAGCCACAGGGCAACGGCGACAGCTGCCCCAGGCCCCGTGCGGGGATGTGTGTGTGTCTCTGACTACCCCCCCCCAGTGGAGGGATAGAAACAGAGGAAGAGCAGGCGCCCGCTGCCGCCATTGGCAGCCGCCGCCACGCACACCCGCTCAGCCCATCCGCTCCGTGGTGGCCCCATCTGTGGTGCCTGTTCCGTCCACGGCCTGGGCGAGCCGGCTTCTAGGGAGGGCTCTCACCGTCCTTGTGTGGGGCGAAGACCAGGCTTTTTCTTGGCTCTGGTGCCGGGGGGGCTGGCAGAGGCAGCCCCCTCCTGAGCTTTTGTCCTCCGGGGCCCCACGAAGGCTGTCCCTGCTGCCGTTTCAGGCGGATTTCTGCTCTGCTTCGTGGAGTGGATTTGCCTTCCCCGGAGGACCTCTGGGCTTCTGTGAGGTCACGGTGGAGTTCTTCTGCAACGCCTTGAGGAGTAGCTTGGTTGGGTTCCAGGCTGTAATAGCAAAGGACTTTGTGGCCGTGGGCAGGCTTCCCCGGGCAGCGTGACTGCCGCGATATCCGCACCTGTGAGCAGCCCCCCCCCCAGCTCCCTGGCCAGACAATCCCTGGTGTCCGTGGGACAGGATTCAGCGGCAGAGGCCCCGGGCACCAGGAAGCCGAAGGCGGCAGGTTGCCCTTTCCAACGTGTCCTGTGTGTGGAGGCAGGGAGAGGGAGAGGCGGTTCTTCTGAACAGAGCTAACGGTCTTCTTCGTTGTGACGCTCATTCCCCTCTCCAGAGCAGAGCAGCTGGTTTCTCCGTGGTTCTCTTTCGAAGGGGTCTCGTTGCTGCTGCTGCTGGCACCCTGCCATCGCTGGAGCTCCTTGCTCCTTGATTTACGCACTAGGCACCCTCTCGGATTTCTGGCACAATTGCTCTTTCAAAACCGAGCTCCTCGATTTGATAATGGCGTGGAACTTGATTCCTGTGAACTTCCTGTGGCTCTAAAAAGATTAAGAGGCCGTCTCCTTCTGCGGAAAGCAGGGATTCGGGTTCAGCTGCGGCAGCTGTGGGACGAACTGCCTCGGAGTGAATTCTCCATGTCGCCGGCCGACGCAGGTCGGAGGGGCCTGCCAGCCAGGGCGAGCCTCCTGCCACGGAGAGGAGCTTTAAAGGGCACTGGAGACGAGGTGCTGAGTGAGCAGAAGCGTTCCTCTTTGCCACAGGCAGAGCAGAGGCCGCGGGGTGGGGATGACTTGCTAATTCCGGGGAGCCTCCTGGTATACCGGCCGTCCCTGCGTTTGCTGTCGGCTTCCTCGGATGCGCTGCAGATCAGCCAGAGAGAGATTTGGGGCAGCTGCTTTTGAGTTTTAAGAGGAAGAAGCTCCCTGACTTTTGTAGGTGGAAATGTGGACACATGGCTCAGCGGCTGAGACTGCATTTTGTCGCCCAAAGGAGTCGCACCGCTCCGTCGCCGGGAAGCCTAGGAGATGGCCTGGATGGCGAGGATATTTGCACACGTGTCAAAAGGCCTCACCCTGACTCCCTCCGGCTCAGGCTAGATCCCAGGCAGGAGATCAGTCCGCAGCCAGTTTGGCCCCAGCACCCAAAGAAGAGCGCCTCGCTGCAGATCTCCCTGCAGCCTCCACGGTGCCGTGGGCCTTCTCAGCCGGTGGCTTCTGAAGACCCGCCTTCCTTGACCACCAGCTCCAGGAGGACAAAAGGGGCCCGCTGGAGCCGACCTGCGGGGGGGAGCCCACCGGACCCACCGCCTGATGACAGAGCCTTCGGCAGGGCCCAGGGCAGCGATCCGGGCGCCTGCAGCAGTGCCGGGAGCGACTGCGGGTCCTGGGCCAGCACCACCACCAGTGACGGCGGCTCCTGTACCAGTGGCGTCGCCAGCAACAGCGGCGGTAGCAGCTGCCCCTTCTGCGCAGGGGAGGGCTGGGCTCTTCCCGGTACTGTGGCCGGCGGCGATGCTGGGAGCACATCTCGCCTCTCTACGGGCAGAGCCCCTCGGGGGCCATCCCTACGAAACGTGTCTGACCCGGAAGAGGCGAGAAGGCCGGCCAGGCCACGGGGAGGGGAGGAGCGGGAGAGGAAGAGACCGCTGCTGCGGCGCTGCTCCTCCCTGGTGGTTTTCCCACGGAGCCCCTCGGGTCCCCCGCCGGTCTCGCCGACGCCTCCTCCGCCCCGCAGGCGGCCCTCTTGGGTGCCTCCCGGGGAGCAAGGGCCGGAAGACGAGGACAGGGCGGTGGCCGAGGGGTCCCTCTCGACTGTCGCCAATGGCCTCCGGATCTCTCGCGGTGCCGGCCCTCCCGACGGAACGAGGGACGTGAGGCAGCTCTGCGGGGAGAGCTCTGGGTGGGAGAGGCCCTCGGCCACGCAGGGGGCGGTCCCCGCGGGGGGCTCTCGCATCTCGTTTCATTTCTCCCACGGAATGCCGGTGGCGGAGGAAAGGGAGCCCGCTTCTTCTGCACCTGCCGTGACGAGGGACCCTCCTGCTGGACTCGCACGCGGCACCTGGGCCTCTTGGCCCTCGGGTACAGAGGAGCGTGGCAGCGGCGGTGGCGGCGGCTGGGGGACAAGCCCAGCCGTGTGCAGGAGCAGGGCCCCTCCCGGCCTGCAGAGGAGCCTGTCTGTGGGGTCCCCCCTGGCCCACCTGCACTACCGGTCTGAGGCCGGCACCTCCCACCTGCACATCCAGTTTGCCTCCGAGAGAGAGGGAGGGCCCGGGGGACAGTCACCTGGGAAGGCATTCGGCAGTGACAGCTGGAGGCAGCCTCTCGAGGTGAGTGTGGGGATATGGGGAGACGGCCGGCCCCCCTTTGCAGCCGTGCGTAGTGGGACTGCCGGCCTCCTCTGCTCCCGGGTGTGCCGTGCTGAGCCTCCGTGAGTGGCCGTCTGCTCCTGCCTCATGGAACTCTACTCACGTGGAGATGGCTTTCGCTTTCTCCAGTGCCCACACACAAGGAGGCCAAGGGACTGAGCCGATGGGGAGTTAAGAACCTCCGTGGCCCTTGCCTTCCGGAGCCCTATGCAGAGCAGGTTCTTGCCTGCAGACAGAGCAGGAAGCCAACTGGGGTGTGTGTGTGGCTTTGGAGAGAATTCCGCCTGAGCTCCCTCCGTGCGGTGCATGGCCTCACGACGTAGCTCCTCTGCTATCCCCCTGGTCCCTTGGCCAGCTCTCCTGAAAAGGCTTTGGTGGTGCGCGGGATCCCAGGGTTTGAATTGCAAGCACGGTGTTTTGATGTATTTCTGTTGATTTGTGTGGCCTGGGGGAGGTGTGCGTGGTGCCTGAACCACCTTGGCCCAGGTGACGGGGAAGTGCCGGAGAGAGTGAGGAGGACCACTCTGAAGACGGGGGCCACCCACCGTGCCTTAAAACGTCAGGGCCCAAAAACAAGGAAGACACTGTGTACAAAAATACAGAAATAACTAGTTTTAATAGAACATTAAAGAATTTATGATATATTTTATAGGTATAATTATCGTAATAATATTCAAAAGAAAGTCACATATGAAAACTCGATTCACAAAAATCTGATGCACCACAAGATTCGTAGATGAATGAAAGTCCCTTAATCCCATGGGGAAAAGTGGACATGTTTGTTGTAAGGATGGAGATTGGTTCCAGAGAATGATTTATACAAGGAATGGTTAAGGCGATTCTTGAGAAAGAAGGCTGGAAATGGCTTATACATCCGGGGAGCCGTCGGATTGCTTCTCCTGTAGCGGCGGGATTTTTGGATCGCTTCTCTTGCAGTAACAAGTTCTGGAAGAAGAATATTTTGGATTATTTCTTTGCAGTAGCAGGACATATAAAATAGAGAATCCCTGCACTGTTTAATTCCAGTGGTACTGACTTTCATTCATGTATGAATCTTGGGGTGCATCAGATTTTTGTGAACTGAGTTTTCATATGTGATGTTATATGTGTCATGACTTTATTTTGAATATTATTACGATACTTATACAATATATCATAAATTAGTTAATATTCTATTAAAATTATTTTTCTAGTATTGTATTTTTGTACACGGTGCTTTTCTTGTTTTTGGATTTGTTCCACCACGGTTCCTGCTTTTGTTGGTTGGTTTTAAAACTTCAGGGGCCAAGGACGCTCTCTGCTTATCTCTGACCATTAAGCAAAACAACATAAAAGATGTGGCAAATAACTTAAATTATATCCTTGGTACCTGTTAGGCAGCCTGTGTTCTTTTGCATTCTTCTCTCACTACAGAAGCTAGTTTTCTTCCCCTGAAGATGTCTCCTCTGCTCTGATCAAGCTGCTTACAATACACGTTGTCCCTACCTTGGCATCCTTTACAACGACACCCCTCTTGCCTCCTGGCCAGGCTAAAAGGACTCGGAGGTCTCCATTTCTGCTCTGCTGTATCAGGCAGAAGGCGCTTTGCCTCTCGAGGGCTTCTGCTCTGGAACCCTTGTTGGTCCCTGCGGGGCTACGACGGGTCTCAGGTCTAACCGTTTGCCTTTCTGGTTCCCTTTTTTGTTGTAAGCTGCCTTCATGGGCTCTGTTTGGTGTAGTGGTTAAGTGTGCGAACTCTAATCTGGGAGAACCGGGTTTGATTCCCCACTCCTCCACTTGCACCTGCTGATGTGACCTTGGGTCAGTCACAAGCTCTGGCACAGCTGTCCTTGAAAAAGAGCAGTTTCTGTCAGAGTTCTCTCAGCCCCACCCACCTCACAGGGTGTCTGTTGTGGGGAGGGGAAGGGAAAGGAGTTTGTAAGCCGCTCTGAGACTCCGAGTGAAGGGCGGGGTATAAATCCAATCTCTTCTTCTCTTCTTCTTCTTCTTCTGTCAAAGACTGAAAGGCAACTTCTGCCTGCCTGCCCCAGCTCAAAGCACCATTTTCTATGAAATGGGCTTCTGTTTGCCAGTCATTGGGGATAAGCTCTGTGCACATCTGCAGAAATTACCGTATTTTTCGGACCATAAGACGCACCTGACCTTAAGACGCACCTAGTTTTTAAAGGAGGAAAACGGGGGGAAATATTCTGAACCTTCGGTCCATAAGACGCACTCACTTTTCCTCCCACTTTTTTTGGAAGAAAAAGTGAGTCTATGGTCCAAAAAATACGGTATTTCTTGAATGTTGTCCTTGGCTGAAGGGGGGGGGGATCACCATCTTTTTTCCTTCCTAAGGACAGATTGCTATTCTAGTGAAGACTCCAGCGGGGCAGCCATATTTTGCCCATCGCGGCCAAGTAGGTCAAGGTGCACCTGAAAGCCGAATGGAGTTTATTCGTGTTGGGATTCCTTCAGATAGGCAGAGCGGGCGTCCCTGAGGCAGACCTATTTATCCCCTTTGCCACTGTCCTGCCTGGTGTGAATAGAAAGGGGTGTACAACACAACACTCTGCTTTAGTGGGAAGAGCCGGTTCCTAAGCAGCCTGTTTTCAGATGTTCTCAATCGACACTTCTGCTGCAGCCGCAGACGGTGTCAAACCCTGCCTGCCTGCCTGCCTGCCTCTTTCCATCTGGTGCTGACGATGAGGCCGTCTTGGGCACAGGCATGCCAAAATGAAGATGTGTTTTGTGAAGCCATGTTGTGCTCAGGTTTGGCCCAGTTGGTGTCAGCGCGGAAGGGAGATTTGAGGCAAGCGAGGCATTGCAGGCTGACAACGTTTTTAAAAGTGGTCTCTTGCTATGCAGAATACACCCCTGCTGGCTAGTAAGAGTGCTCTGCTCTGAGTCTTCTGCTCCTGATATCTGGATGGAGCAAGAAAAGACCTCTTGGGCTCCATCAGGGCACGCCTGGGCCGTTGCCCTCTTGGGGGGCATGCCAATACCGATGGCCGTGTTCCAGATAAATCCGAAAGGGTATCGAGGAGCAGCTTTCCGAAATTACGATGCGGACGGATTCCCGCTCCGAGGAGAGAGAGTCTTCCGTGCCAGTTCTGTCAGATATTCCCACACCACCTAATTATAGTCCTGTGTTGTGATTCGGTTTAAAATTAACCACCCTGAAAATACTCGGTTGGCTCCAGTGAGTCTGGCCCCGGTGGAAGGGGTCTGGTGAGTCCTTCCCCTGCTCGCAGTGAGCCGGCTGTTGTGGGGGGGGGAGTCGCATTTCAGGAGGTCGGCTGTCTGTTCCGAGCTGTCATGAAATGAAGCCGGCACCTCGGTTTCAGGCGCAGGGGTCCAAGGCAGGCAGCGCGGGTGTGTGTGTGTGTATGGTGCACCTTGTCTTCAGCCGCCGAGGGTCCCGTTTCGGGCTCTTTGTCAGCCTCAGCTTTGCACAGCCTTCTGTGCGAAACCCGCTGCGAAGGAGGCCGCAGGGGGTCCAGTTCTGGGAACTGAGCAGGCCACAGTGGGCGGGAGGGAAGCCAGCTCCAGAGCTGTCCGGAGGGGCCTTGCTGGGGAAGGAGCGAGGTCCCTTGGGAACGGGGGAAGCTGGGCTCCCTGGGGTCAGAGACGGGGAGGCTGGGTCTCCCATAGCAATGAATGGCAGCCATTGAGCCGACAGGAGAAGCCCGGGCGGGGAGGGCTGAGAAAGGCCGGAGGGCGCAGAGAAGTTCTGTTGGTCCCCCTCCACCACCCTGAGAAGATGGCCAAGCCCACGTGCGTCCCTGTGCCCGACCGTGCAGACCGGCAGGTGCCCCCAGCCCCCCAGCCTTTGGCTACATGCTCCAGGGAAGCAGGGCCTCCTTCCTCCTGGCCGTGGCCCCCAGAGGGGAGAGCGAGCGAGGGAGACGTGCACTTCTCCTCCTCAGCGCCTCCCTCTCCCTCGGCCCAGAAGAGAGTCCCCGGGAGTGCTTTTGGCACGGCAAGGAACGCTTGATGGCCTCCTGCCACTCACGGCTTCTTCTCTCTCTCCGCAGACCAGGGATGACTTCCTCGGTCAAGTGGATGTGCCCCTCTGCCAGCTGCCGGTGGGTATTGATTTTTTAAAAAGCAACCACGCATCTTTCTGAATGTTCTTGTGAAGAGCACAGCACTTTGTCGCTGCTTGCTTTTAGCCAGAGGTGTTTAGCCTCCTGTCCAGGGGAGGGGGCTGTGAACTGGGCAGCTTCCCAGTGTGTGTGTGCGGGGAAGATCTGCACGGACGGAGGCCGTGAACATGGCTGCCTCTGGTATTGCTGACGCAGCCCGGCAGTCTTAGGGCTCCACTGCGCTCGCTGTCCTTTGGGAGCGGCCCCAATGAGGGCCCACTGCTCTAGCGCTTTGGGAGGTTGGGGTGTGTGTGTGCCAGAGTCCGCACAGGGTGGTGACGGCTGCTAGGGGAGGGGCCTGGTCCAGAGCACATTGGCTGGCTGGCTGGCTGGCTGGCTGGTGCTGCAGCCTGCAGTCGCCACAGGGCTAGCTGCAATGAGGATGAGTCTTCCTCCCTCACACGCCTTCTGCTGTGACTCCTGAAAATGCTTTTCACACAATACAAGAACTCGTGGACACTCCATGAAATTGCTGAGCAAATAGAAGGAAGTCCTCCTTCACCCAGAGTGATTAACACACATGGAATTCACTGCCACAGGAGGTGGTGGCGGCTACAAGCATGGACGGCTTCAAGAGGGAATTAGATAAGCATATGGAGCAGAGGTCCATCAGTGGCCCCTATTATCCGCAAGGTATAGACAGGAACTCTCGGGCTGGGGCCAGTGATGCTCTGTCTTCTTGGTGCTTGGGGGGGTGGTCAACAGTGGGGGGGCTTCTAGTGTCCTCCTGGCCCCGCCGCTGGACCTCCTGAGGGCACCTGGTATTTCTGGCCACTGTGTGACACAGAATGTTGGACTGGATGGGCCTTTGGCCTGATCCAACAGTGGCTTCTCCTCTGTTCTTACATGTCCTCTTCAGAACATCATGAAAATTCACGCCGCTTCTTTTCATGCGGTCATTACCAAAAACTTCCACCCTGGAGAAACCAGTAGTCTGAATGGGCCTGTGGGTTTAGAAATGCAGCATACACCTCATTGGCACACTTGGGAAAGGCTCTGGTGCCAGCCAAGGCGGGCAAGGGATCTTCGGACTGGTCCCAGTCTCTGCCAGCGGCACCCTGGATCCTGGTGCCACCGCTGACAGTCTCGCCTGCCCGGCTGCTGTGTTTTGCAAGGCTGAAGTTGGGGTGTTTGGGAGGGCGGGTGTGCCGCACACCCGGCGGTGCTTTTCCAAAGAGCAGGGGTGGTGGGGGGCCAATGACCCAAAGCTGCTGTTTCATTCCAGACAGAGAATCCGGCTACTGAGAGGCCGTACACATTTAAGGACTTTGTTCTTCACCCACGGAGGTCAGTCCCTTAGGAAACGCCAGTGCCCCTCTCTGGTGCCACGGATGCCCCATTCTGCCGTGGCTGTTGTCGGGGGGGGGGTTTGCCCCGCCCTAGTGGTCTCGTGGCACTGGGGCCACGTGTGTGCTGGTGAGGCTGGGTTAAGGCCAGGCCAGGGGGCAGAGGCGAAGCGGAGTGAGGCAGCGGCTTCCCTCAATGGCTCACGCTTGCGGTTGCTGCGGTTCTCTTCCACAGCCACAGGTCCCGAGTGAAAGGGTTCCTCAGGCTCAAAATGACGTACCTGCCCCAGAGCCACGGCCAAGAAGATGATGGCACAGAGCAGGCGGAGGAGCTGGAGGTGAGCTTCCGGGGCCTCCCTTGGCCTGGCCGATGGCCCCCAGCCAGGGCAATAGACAGAATGGATAACAGCCACGATGACCAATAATCAGACTCAGAGGAAACTGATAGTTATTGCGCAAAATGTCTATGCATTATAGTATCCAATAGTCAAGGTGTGTCAGAATATTCAAAAGGTAAGTTTAAACAATCAGTACATTCATAGTTGTTAACAAAGTTCTCTGGAATGCTAGCTGAACATGTTACCCTAATGGTTTGAACGCATCTTTAGACCTATTGTGTTTTTTGTAGTACTTTGGATTTTTGGATGTATACCTTTAAGAGTTGTTTAATACAACGGAGGAGATGTGTTACACCTGCTAAGGCTACTAGTGGTTGTTCAACCTGCCTGCACAGAACTCATTGAGCAGAAATGACAACTAGGATCTGGTGAGCGTATATAATTGTTGTTAAAATATGTTTTTTTAATTCTGTCATATGACGGAGGTAGTTGATTGAAACAATGTTTTTTCCATAGAAAATCTTTGTAGAAGAGTCTACTACTTAGACACCAATTGATGTTATATCAGGAACAAGACACGTTGTTGTATGTATTAAATTTTACTGACATAATTGTATATTTACAGGTACATTGCACAAAGTATTTTTACAAACGTGTTTTTTCCATTAATTTTGTAAGGTTCAGAGGAAGTCTCAACGAAACAATACGTCCTTCCGGAGAACTTCGTTAACAACTATGAATTCAATGATAGTTTAAACTTACCTGTTGTATATTCTGACATGCCTTGAATATTGGATAATATATCACATAGACATTTAGCGCAATATTTCAGTTTCCTTTGGGTCTGATTATTGGTTACCCAGGCAGGGTAACCCCCCCCCCCCATTTCCTCCTGTCACCCCCTTGGCTGAGCTTGACTGGGGTGTTCACGCCGTGTGCTGAAGCAGGCCGCTCACTTGGGTCTTGCTGGGTTTTGATTCTATGCTCTTGGTCTGTTTTAAAACCTGTCGAGCCGTCTTCCTTGAGCAGAGGGGTGGTTTCCGGATCATGTGTCAGCGGTGGCTGCTGAGGCTGGAGTCGGCCCTCTCAGGGGGCTGCACAGTCAGAAAGGTGGCCGGAGCCAAACCCTGTGCTTGCCGTTGCAGCCCGGCTGGATTATCCTGGACCAACCGGAAGCCTCTTGCCAGCTCGAGGAGCCGGAGGCCTCCCTCCCGCCAGGCTGGGAAGAGAGGCAAGACCTGCTCGGCAGGACCTACTACGTCAACCACGAGTCCAGGAGGACGCAGTGGAAAAGGCCGACTCTCCAGTAGGTGGTCCTTGTGCAGTCTTAGCCAGACGGGCTCTGTTCCGGAAGACGAGTAGAAGGGCCTTCTGGGAGTCTTGGGGGGGGGAAGGGAGGGGTGTCCTGGGGGCCAGTGGTTCTGGCCAGTGCCCTTGGTTGGCTTTCGTGGGCTGGGGCTTGTATGTGAATCCTGTGCGTGCCAGCCTGAGGGACGGTGGTGGCAGCATCCGGGGTGGCTTGAGGCAGGCCTCACTCAGGCCTCTCTGCCTTCCCTGGGAAGCAAAACTGGGTTGCACTTGTGCTGCATCTCTGAGTACGCAAAGGAAGCAGCTCCCACACAGAAAGGGCAGTGCCCCCTGGCACAGGCAGGCACACTTAACCCTCTCTTTGTGAAGGGACGGCAGACCTGCCGCGGAGAGCGACCGTACTCACCTGGAAGCCCAGCACGCCTTCGCCCACCGGCACCAGATCACAGAGGAGTCCGAGGGCCTGGACAACGGCGAATCCCCAGAGGTGAGAGCCCGCCTCCCTGGCGGGGAGGGGGGAAGTGATGGGGCTCTCAAGACCCCGGAGGGAGGGAGGGAGGGAGGGAGGGAGAGGTGGAAGTTTGGAGGTGGCCGGATGCACCATCCAGGTCCTTTGGAGGTCTGCTGGGGTTGGGCAACTGGAAAGAAACGGGACGGCTCAGCCCCACTCAGGAGAACCCATGTGGGGCAGCGATAGGGAGTTCTTTCGGGGGGGGGGGATCGGGATCCTTGGATCGGGAGGCGGCGGCGGGGGGGATTTTTGGGGGGGGATCGTGATCCTTGGAGCTGGAGGCGGCGGCGGGGGGGATATTTTGCAAACTGCAGTGGAAGCGATCCGAGAGGGAAGTCGCACGCAGAGCTGGTTTCCCTACTGCCAAGTTACTTTGCTTCGGTTTCTTGTCTGTGTTGGTTGGTTTGCCCTTCTGTGAAAGACGCTTAGTTTCTCTTTGACCGTATCTTGAAAGATCTAAGCAGCTGGCCCGAGAGTCTTGCTGGCTTCCCTTGTTTCTCCCCTCCACCCCCATTAGAGCTGGGAGATCATAACAGAAGACGAAGCCACACTCTACAGCAACCAGAGCCCCGAGGCGGGCGTCCGGCGAGGCCACGCGGAGGCCGAGGCACCCCCTGTGGAGGACGCGAGTGCTCAGCGGACCCCTGCAGCACCCTGCACTGTAAGAGCTGTGTTGAGCAAAGCGGGGCGTGGGGCACAAGCGAGCAAACCCCAAAAGCAGAAGTTGTGCCCCTGCCCGATATGGCAGCATGCTTCCTGGGGGCCGGGGGCTCGGTCTGGTGCTCTGGAGGCTTCGTTCGCTGGCCGGGGAGCATCTGGCTTTGGCTCCTGCCTGGCCTAAGAAGCTGCACCGGCTGCAGGTTTGGGCCAAAGTCTGTGGAAGGGCTTGGGAGCGTCTCCGCAGCCACAGTCCCGGGTGACCTTCCCCCTTCCCCTTCCCAGGGTGACGCCGGTAGAAGCAGCGGCCTGCAGACGTACAGCCAGGAGGAGCGGCCGGTGCTCCCAGTGGTGAGTTCTCCCTCCCGGTGTGCTGCCCCCTCTGCTGGGGTCAGAGCTGCTCCCGAAGGCCGGGAGGCTCCCCTCGGCAAGAAGTCCCCGCGGCAGCCCTCCCGGGGCCCCTGGCAGCCCAAGGGGTGGGGTGGGGGGGCCCTCCGCGTGAGCGTGGCAGAGGCCTGGCCCTGGCTTAAGAGCCAGTCTGGGGTCGTGGTTCAGTGCGCAGAGGACTCTGATCCGGGAGGACTGGGTTGGATCCCCCACTCCTCCTCCTCCTCCTCCACTTGCACCTGCTGGGTGACCTCGGGCAAGCCACCGTTCTCTCAGGGCTGTTCTTGCTCTCTCAGCCCCGCCCGCCTCACAGGGGGTGTCTGTTGGAAGGAGGGGAAGGGAAAAGGGAGTTTGTCAGCCGCTATGAGGCTCCCGAGTGAAGGGCCAGGGGGAGAAGTCCAGTCTCCTCCTCCTCCTCCTCCTCCTCCTCCTCCGAAAAGAGGGTGTATGTGGCAGTCCAGAGGGCCGGTGTGCTGAGCTGAGCCCTTTCCCCAGCCAAGTCCAAAACGAGCCAGTCCATTTCTCGGCCGGAGCGGGGGGGGGGCGCCTCCATGGCTGGGTTCCTCCTGGAAGCTGCTCAGACCTGTGCCCCCCCCCTTCCTGCCACATGGGCCGGGGTTTGTGGCCT